TATATAAACTACCCTCTAGACATTTTCTATAATCCTGAGACTTTCATGGAAGATGAGAATTGCATAAGCAGAAGGTTCTCTGTCCCACATGCATCACAAACTAAAGTTGAAGCTATACTTACTTTCAGTTCAAAAGTTAAACCAAGAGCTCTTTATCACCGTAAACCACACTCCCTAGTAAAAGTATGGAGGAAAGAGAATTATAGAACCAAGAGAATCAACATAAATTAAAGGCCTTTTCTTTTGTTTTCATGTATCAGAGGCCAACTTTCATCTTGACCACAAAGATTGCAGAGTCAACAAATTGTGCCCTGTATTTTTGTTTAAAAAAAGGTATTCTTAAAAGCATTAAAAGCATTGCTTTATTTACTTGAACCTCGACAGACTTAAACAATGAGAATGAATTACGGAATACCTACCCCAATCCATATCTTAGGTATCTTTATAACCCTACACGTGAGGAATTCTCTTAAAGCAAAAGCGATGGGAGCCACACCCAACCTAAGTGCTCTCTCCCTGCTTCCTCTAATCTTCTTCAGCCATAATACTGCTCAATGCTGAAGAAAAAGAGCCCATGTGTTATTTTATTTTTTTAATAATTTGAAGCTTCTTGCCCAAACCTAGAATAGACTTTTCAGTTTAACTAACATCGTCCAGTGTCAGCTATTCTAGTGGCCTTCTCCGTATTGTAAATCAATAGTATACTAATTCACAAGATCTTCTCCATCCATTATATGGTAACTACATCAACCTCTGTGTCTAAAGACAAGCACAAACAGACATTTAAACATGACTAAAGTAATTTACTTTGTCAGGATCTTAATAAGTCAAGTGGCTCTGTCCATCGCTATGAGACTTAATTCAAATGTGCAGGTGAATAAACAGATCTTAATTCTCAGCTTTGATGACCATGTTTATTTGCTCTCTCTGTAAGCTTCAGCTTTTCCAACCCTGAAGCCCGCTGAGATCCAGAGCCTGGTCATTCCAACCAAAACACTTTTCTGCATCTAGCCCCACCCCAAATTCTAAAGATGAAATATATCACCCAAAACATAAAAAATCCTGAAAAGAGTGACAGCAATTCTAGCACAAACTCACAAATATGTCCTTGACAGGAAAAAGAACATTATGTAGATTTAGAAAACAAGAAAAACCATGATTCAGAAACAAAGTTAACAATACCTAATATATGGGCAATCATATCAAGAGAAACAACAGCGTTAAGAAGAACTCTTTACTTTTAATTCTAATTAGTCAATTTGTGTTCCTTCTAAATTGCAAAGTTTGGCCTTTTTATGAATCCTGATATTTTAAGTTTGATCTTTTGTTAAACCAAATCCAGTTATTCCCATTTTATCTCATAGCATTTTGTGTAGGTGTTGAATACCCATCTGTTTCCAATATACTCCTGACATTTTTAAAAAGCGTTCCCCTGTTTCTGGAGTTAGCCCTTGCCAAGCAAGAAGAAATCTAAATTCCTTCTAGGTGAAGGCATCCATTCCTGACAAAGGTACAGATTTCCAATTCTGAAAATAATAGGACTGAACAATGGGCTGTTGGCATCTTAGCCTCATTCCATTTTTGCTGGTTAAATAATGTTGTAATTTCAACAGATTTTAAAATGAACGATTAATACCAAGTTCAATCAAGCTTATCATAAAATTGCTAATATGTATCTCTGCCTAAACCCAAGTTCAAGATGAGTATTTATAGAAGAAAACCTACTTCCGGCACCAATAACAGGGAATTTGCATGTGGGATCCTACGCAAATCAAGTCGGACACAGATGCTCCCCACTGGAGCTTGGCAACCCTGGAATGAAAATACTGTAACCATCTATACTACCAAGTTCAAACTCAGTTAAGCGAACAAGGTCATGAATTAATGTGCCATTTGACCAAAATGAGAAATACCTGTCTTAGGATACTTTGCTTAGTTTCATATAAAATTGTAAATAGTTACATGGAATATTATCATAGAACATGTAATCTCATTGTTAATGTAAAGACAACAAATTTTAATGCTAGATATTCACCATTATAATCATCGTGCCCTAGATAGAAAATAAATATTAAAATTAAAAATGTTAATAAAGCTTAGAGATAAATTTCTAAATTTCCTTTAAAATTCTAGAGGGACTATATTAACATGAATTTAATGTAGAACAAAATTTGAGTATAATGGCCAAGAGCAAAACTTATGCCAAAAATTCTAAACCTTTAGAACTTCTAAAATTTCTTTGTCTTTTGTCACAAGTTCTCTAACAGAGAATAATATTTTGAGGTATGAGGCTTGCAAAGCTTTAACTTCCCAAGAAGTGCTAGCTTTGAGAAATGCATATTAATTGGTTACCTAGAAATATTATTTTAAAATACCATTTATCTAAATTATGTCTATTAGAAATAAAAGATTAGACACTTATATCTAGAAGTATTCCTTAAGAAAATAATATTTCTAAAAACTTATAAGCCCCCCAAAGTATGGAAATCATCTCTAGAAATAAATATTTTTAATAACATCAGGGTTCACGGTCTTTAATCCGATCATTTTGTTTCTCCTACCAAAATATGTATTTACCGAACAAAAACTCAAAACTAGAAGAAACTAGATTTTAAAATATGGAGGGAGAGAGAATCACAGATCTGTTTCAATACACAAAGTGCTAGTATCTTCCAAAAAAATGAAGAAAATTACCACAAACTATAAGCCCCTAATTACTCTACTGTGCCAGGACCATTTGAGCGGTAATCCTCAAAGACTGGCACCTCAGAAGTATGCTTACAACCATGATTAACTATAGCCATAGTGTGGTTCACTGAGCAGGATATATTTTACACAGCACAGGGAAGCAGAAAGTCTCTGTGAGGCATGTGTCATGAATGCTTCGAGTCTAATTTAAACAAAGATGTCACAGAGAAGCTCAGAATATTTAGTAACTGCAGGTCAAGGAAAGACAATGAACCTAGATATGGCTGCAAAATAAATGCAGATAGAGTCTTACACAGTTCTGTTTGAAGGCACAACAGGTCTGTCCAGAACATGATTCTCCTTTTAATTTAACAGCTTACAGACATTACTAAAATTCAAAACAATCTGCCAAACTGAGAAGATTGAAAAGATACACAAAAAAGCAAACCCAGAGGAAAAATAACTTTGGTTCAACACATTTTACCTTGAAAGAAAGGTAAAACATGTGTCCCCTCAACATGTTTCACCCAAAACATAAGCAGCTGAAGCAAATGTTGGGGTGCACCTCTGGTGGTAGGAGACACAGATATTCCAAAGGAGCTTCTGAATGCACATCGATGGCAACGCAAGGTATTTTTTTTTTAATCTGCACCCCCAGGTCCTGATCCTCAGGGCTCAGCACCACAGAGAAGGGCTCAAGGAAACCTAAAATAAGCACAGAGTCAGTCATATTCTGGCCTGTGCCAGACTGAGAAGCTCAAGTAGAACAGAAAAATTCAAATGAAATAAGTGGGATTTGGAAATTCTACAGAAACATTTCCAAAACCAGTCATTAATACCAAAAGTAAAAAGACAAGACATAAGAAAGGCGCTATCTATAGAGCACAATAAAAAATTAAAATCATGGGCTCTGAATTTAGCACATACAATTCTCCAAATGATGAAGCACTTTCCACAATTAACACTCACTTTGGGAGGCCAAGCCCTGTAAGAATTATTCCTCTTTGCCCCCTCCAAACTCTTTCACACAGTTTCGAAGCATATCCCTACACTAGATGTTAACAGGCAGTGAAAGAAATGTACAATTAAGAATCGGAACACACATCACATCTAAACTATTAAAAAGTAGGCAAAACATGCCACCAGAATCACAGAGCTCTTCAGCTTGTGCAACTGCTAACACTAATGACATTCATTAGATGATAAAGTCAAAAATATAGATAGGATGGTTGAGTACTGCTCATTTTTCCATAAAAAGATGATGTTTTTGAAACAAGGGAAGAACCATATGGTAGGTTCTATAAAACAAGACACCTGCTTGAATCCATGAGGGAAAAGAATTTACTCCATAAAACTCTCCTAATGACAAAAGAAAAGCAAGCTTGCAGTTAGAATGTGTGTGATCCAATAAGCCTTGGCTAGAAACTGCTCTGCAGTCCAGATTACTCATGCCAAGTGTTGGCCTGAGCTTTCACAACACACTTAAAAGATCCTGTGGAAATGTTGACAGACTATTGGTGCTAATAGTAACCCCAACATGAGCAGATCTAAATATGTACATTTATGAAGATTGTGAAACC